CATATCGCGTTTCTCGCGACAGAAAACACCACGTGCGGGGAACGGCGCTATCGGCTGCATGGTGTAAGAAAAAAAAAATCTATGCTTCTAACGCTCGGTTCTCGGGTTCTCACGGGGTATGTGATTTTAAGAGAAAAGAAGAGAAAAGTGAGCCCGGTAACTGTCTCTCAGGGGGAGGACACCTCAACAGTAACTCACGAGGGATAGGGGTAGAGAAGGGATTACAAGGATAGGATTAAAAGGTAAAGACATAGAGAGAGAGAGGAAGGAGAAAGCGAGGCGCAGTGACAGCGAACGACGGAAGTAAGGAAAAGACAGGAAAGATGGACACGGTTGCAGGAGTCCGAGGATGGGGCACCACTGGCGAGAGCTCTTGTCGGCGTCAGGAGATAGCGTATACGGCAAGTCCAGTAGGCCAGAGCTACGCTGTCGTCGAAGGTCGGCGTCAGGAGATGGCGTAGGGCCAGCCCAGTCGGCCAGAGCTACGCTGTCGTCGGAGATTGCGAGGGCACAACCGGTCGGCAGGAAATCCAGTGAGCGAGTGCTGGGTTCTCACGAAACGCCGTTATAGACGCTACGCAATGTATTCGCATTTCTTCACGATTGCCATCGGGGAGGTGGGGGCATTTTTTTTTCATTTTTCTTAACCCTTTCGCATCAAAATTACCAATGCCTCTTCTCGCAGTTTCTCAGTTAATATAAACTGCCAACACCTGCGGTGCATACCCGCACACCGTGGACCGTGGTATACGTGCACGTGCAACACGTGTCTTTGGAGGAAAAGGTTGGACGTCGTAGGAGTCGAGATTTTCCCACTGTCATGACCAGGCAGACTTATCGTCAAATGTTTTTACCCTCCCATGCTAATTTTGGTCTACCCCAAGTTATGAAGGTGATCACGAGAGCACCCAGACGTAGGCAGATAGATAGATAGATAGATAGATAGATAGATAGATAGATAGATAGATAGATAGATAGATAGATAGATAGATAGATAGATAGATAGATAGATAGATAGATAGATAGATAGATAGATAGATAGATAGATAGATAGATAGATAGATACTCTACACGGCTATACTATGCTTTACTCTCCCCCTTCCTTCTGTCTCACTTTTACTTCCTTTTTTCTCCCCTTTTCCGTACTATACCTATACATTGCTACGTTATAATTTACCCTCCCCCTCCTGCTGAGCGCAGCGTTTATGCAGCGTCCGCGATGACCGGCGCTGTCGAACGCTGCATACACGGAGTCCCGAACCTCGAAGTCGAAGCGGAGTTCCGTATGTACTGATTAGCTCACGCGTACACGTAAGTGGCAGCCACCTTATATCTCAGCGGATGTTTAGCTGCTTTATGCATGCTCAAGATGAAGTCACGAGACAAAGGGAAACGTAGCACCATGGCTGAAAAGGAGAAGAGGCGTGAAAATCGATAGACACTGCAGAGCATACCATTGACGCTTAGTACAAAGTGCTATGCAGTTTCGAATGTAAAGCTTCTCCAATAATATTCGAAATAGAATTCGAAGTCGAGTAAGAATGGATCTTGCGTAAAATAAATCAGGACCGTGATCATAAAAAAGCTGTTGCCTTATAACTATGTATCAAGAAACACAAGGAAATAGCGTTGTTCAGCGCATTATTAACGATGTATCGCAGTCAAAGGCATAATACTGTAATAAACAGAAGCTGCGTCAGTATACGGCCCTCTATTTTTCTCACCTGTACTCCCAACTTTTCTTCGTAAATGCAGAAAGAGATCTGATACTCTTCTCAACTGGAACCATATCCAGGTAGGTTTATTTCAACTGTTCACCTTGGCCCCTGGTCAGAATGATGAAGTCGTCTCCAGCAGCACGTACTTGGAAGAACGGGCACGAAACATGTGCAGGTGTGACGATGAAATGCGTTTATTTAGTAAATTGCGAGGCACTAAAGCGTTCGCGTCAGAAAGCGCACCACGTGACCGCAGCACGGGAGAACTTGTTTCACCAGTCTCTTTCATTCTTTCACTCAAAACACACAGTGAGCGCGCGCACACACAAATGCGCACTCAAGCAAACACCATCGAGTTCCATGTGCGTATGTCTCTGCACACCTCCGATTCACGGCTTGAGGTACACGCGGCTCTAGATTAAAAACAAAAACAAAATAAAAACGTGCAGTTTGACTTGTTTCACCCACCGACTCGTCACCTGAGAACGTACACCATGGATGCCGGGCTATCGTTGCTGCACTCGTAAATAGGTCCGGCTTCAAGCATGCTTCCTGGTTTAACCAGGAAGCATGAACATTTTCATCCAGTTTCCTACGTATAGCCAGAACTTTATCAGCGATCCGATTAAAAGCATGCCTCAGTGGTTCTTACTCTTCTAGCTGTTGCTCTGCAATTATTCTATATAACATTTTCGTTATACGTTCCGATCAGGGTAATCATTTGATACAGTCTACATTGATAACTTCAAGAACAATTTTAAGGTAGTCATGGAACATTTCAAGAATCGGCTGAAAGACATCGGCTATATGGCACATGGCGCCACCTCATATAAAATATGGGAAAAAATAATAAAGCGTATTTTAGCGCTATGAGTCGTGAACGTACAACAAACAGAAATTCATTTCCATTATGCGCATGGAAAGCACTTCAGGTATACGTTTTGCTGCTAGCAGGCGATATCCCCATGGATTTTTTAAGCCTTTTTCGCAGACGCCATCTTTTTATGTTCAATAGAAAAGTCTGGATATGGTTTCTTCATTTTGTTACTTCAATGCTATCGTTTTGAAGCTGTCGCTTTCGCCATCTTCATCCAAATCGGAACGGGATTTAAGATGACCGCCCTCTGTTTAACAGCCTATTCAGCCGCCTATGGCAAGTTTGTTAAAACATGACTTTGGATTGCTTCCCCATGCTTGAGGACAAATTAGAGAAATGGGAGTGCCGTCTCAGTTGGTGAATGTTTTCGGAACATTCACCAACTGAGACGGATATGTCAGATATGCAACTTTTTTTTTCTTTGTAGGATTGTATATATTGAGAAAGCATTGTACTGATTCAAGTCCGAAGTTAAGCTTTTAAAACGCGGGAAAAAAACGTGAGGTGAAAAAATTCCACATTAGAATCACGGGTTTTGTGTGCCGTTAGAAGGCAGGAGCCGACCAACGCACGTACACAAAATGAGATGCATAATTACAAAACTTTCCTCTTTAGACCTGTCTTTTTTAATGTCTCAATTCCCGACTTGGCACAAGGGCAGACGCTTATTTATGTACTATAAGTTGATGATCACGTGGTCATATTATTTCAAACATAATCTGATCTGATGACTCGACTTTTCATATCTATCCGCTTATGCCAAAACCTAATTTGGACATATTTCTTATCTGTTACGCACTGATGAGCAATAAGCGTGTGCTTACAAAATGTGTTGCACCTTTCACAATTATGGCAGCAACACGTATATTTCCTCGTTTATAGATTTTTCGAATACGACGACATCGCTTGCTAAACAATAGCCCATGGCATAAGTTCTAATTTTATACGTTAGCAGTTATCCTATACTTTTTTACTTCGGTTGCTTTTTCTCTTTTTGAGGATATGAAAACACTACTTCAGAAGACCTATATGTATGGGCCTAACCATACATATCCTTGCGAATGACATTTACACAAAAACAGAACGCCAGCAAGTGTGTTACGAGCACGGAGATGTCCACATTCCGCTGTCTCGAGCGTCATTAAGAGAATCTATTTAGAATGCCCTTCATTCAAATGTATCATGCAAACATGCGAAAAATTCACGAGTGTAGAATCTCTTCAATCCTGTTGTTTCTTTAGATGGCTACAAGCTGCTCACACCATCACTCCGCAATCACGGGCTCCCGCGTCAAATGTAAAAAATACACCGCCTAATTTTCATATCCTTATTTCACCCAACATCAAGTCCACGGCGCTAAACGGCAGTTGAAGCGTCACTGCAGTGCGACATCTCGATGTGCGACGAGTCGGTGCGCTCGACGTCTCGACGTCGTTCGTCAGGCGGATCACACATAAAAACTGCGCAAAGCACACGCACATTTATCACTCCGTGGCTCTCTTCACAGTCGGCCCAATACATATAGTTTCACAGCACATGAGAAGTTCAGGCGGCGATCACATCCTGAGCTGTTGTGTAGCAGTCTTCTAGTGAAGTCTTGCCTGTCCGTGGAATGGTGGCGGATGCCAGTGAGAACCGCCCAGACTCTGCGGCTTTATACTGTTCGTCCTCTTGAGGCGACCATGGTTGAGCGTGCAGAGGTGGCTCACAGAAAAACCTCACGTCTGAGTTGGAGCACAGCTCGGCAGCGCATGTAGGAAAGGGAGGGATGGGGGAAGCGTGTGAACAAAAGCGAGGGCCCGATTGTGGTTGGACGGACGCAACGTGGTATTATAGATACATCACGCACGTATATATAGTCCACGGCGGTTATGGTTCACTTAAAAACTCTATACTTTGATTTATCTGTTGTCCGTGAAAAACCGACGAAGGAGGCGGGTATACAGAAAGTTACGACCTTCATCTGAAGTGCCCCACCTTTTGAAGTTTCTTTATCTCTTGATGTCGGCTTCGCTCCAATGGAGGTTCAAAGGTGCCTCACGTACCTCCACAAAGTGACTACACAATCTCTCGTCATCATCCGGAAGGCGTTCAACTGTCAAAATATACCCCCCCCCCCCCTCAACATTTCTTTGGAGTATTCCAGGTTTTGCTTGCCTCGTGCCGCAATAAGCATTTGACGAACACAAACCCCCTTTTAAGATTATGAATTCAAGCTGAAGTTTATGTTTTGCAACCGTTACTAATTTGGAGGCGCTTGATCTTTTGCGGAAGCAAAGTCGCGGCGCAACAAGGCACGAGAAAGCACCTCTCTCTCTCTCTCTCTCTCTCTCTCCATGACCTCGCTTCCAGGAGGCGATCGCGGTGCCGAACTGTGCTTCACATCTATAGTTCAGAACTCAGTTTCTGTCGGCCGATGATGATCGCGATGGTGGAGTGTTACAGCGTCCCGGTCGTCATCAGAAGTATCCCAGTCGCTGGGGCATTCGCCCGTTCGCCTCTGCCGCAGAGTCAGGCGGCGCCTACTGGATCCGCGGCCAGTAACTGGACGCCAGGTGGTCGCCGCTGTTGTGGCCGGGCACTTGCACGGGCACCGACACGCCCGGAGAGATGAGCCCTGCGAACGACGAGCACGTCGACTTCTGAGTTCTAGTTTATTGAACCACGTGGCACGATAAATATGAGTCATATTACGCGATTCTGCGCGAAGGGAAAGAAAGCTGCATTTCTCAGCTTGCCTGGTCCCCTCACCCGAAAAAAAATTGTATATAATTTTATAACTTTGATAGTTCGTATCTCATGAATAACCCGGGAAGCGTTTGTGTTGTACAATAACACTGCGAAGTTGGAAGGCACGAATTCCATTCCCAGCCACGGTGGCCTTACGCATGTAAATAGAAGTAGAACGTCAGCACAACTTGGTGTTTAGTTATATTTAGACGGGTGACGTAGTACACGCCGTGATCAATATTATTCCCTATAGTTACTTGCTACGGCTTACGTCCCAACCATTTCGTGGTTCTGGCGCATAGGGCCCTAGATATATGTATATTTATTATTAACGATAATCAGTTACTAATTTCACCTGTTTTCGTTTAGTAAAAACTTTTCAAATATACCCTGTAAAACACCTAGCAGAATGTTACTCCAGTGAAACGAGGTGAGAGTATACTCTACACGTTAAGAACTATCTATCGGCTCCCGATAACGCCCCTAAATGTGTGCCCACTCGAGAGCATTGGATGCTCACCCGTAGATCCACCTCCAGCGAGCTGAGCGTTGAGGTGCGAAGGCCTGGACGGGTAGGGTCCCGTGATTGAGTCGTAGGGAGACCTCGCTGCGGTCGCTGCGCCTCCCGACGGCCCCAGCACGCAAGGCGCGTACGGCGACGTGGGCGGCACCGTCGCCGAGCCGTGGTGCGACTGCTGATGTTGCTGTTGCTGGTGGTGCTGCTGTTGTTGCTGAAGGCACGACGCTGCCGCCGCAGCCGCCGCCGCAGCGGCAGCGTAGCCCGTGGCCGGCGATCCGCTGCCGTACACGTCCGGCACGACGCCGCCCGCGGTGCCCCCCGCGCACCCCGACGGCGCGTGCAGGGACGGGTAGAGCGGACTCGCGTAGCCGGGACTCGGTCGTGGAGGACTGCAGCCGGTGCCGAGACCAGTCGCGCCGCCGCTGCCTCCGTCGCGTCGCTGGCTGCGTAGCTTTTCCTCGCGCCGCCACTTCGCCCGGCGGTTGGAGAACCAGACCTGAGTGCGCGGAGAGGAAAAAAAGAACAATAAAGCGGCGTCCGGACTGCTTGCGGATTACGTCAAGCTATTGCAGACGGTTCGTTTAACGCGGACTTTTATTATTATTTTTTCCCTTCCTTGTCGTCTATACGAAGCTTCGCTCGCACTGTTCTTGTTGTGACAGGATGTGCACGCGTACATCCAACGCTCGGGTGCGGGGCAACGAACTTAGTTTTCATTCCTTTGTGAGTGTTATCTCATTTTCTTCTCTCTAAGGGTGCGGCCGGAGCGTATATATTGGTGGCAGTAATACACGCCCACATAGCGACATTGCCGGCAGTACTGACAACTCATGCCGAAGAGTGGGCTGACCTGACTGTTTTGTCATGAAGTAATGAAAGTTTAGACCTCTTGATTGAAACTGATCCCGCAAGAATCGACGTTATATATACTTTAGGTGAGCGCACAAAACGAGCTACGAACCACAGCAGATCAAACGGGAATTCACAAGCGTTCACTTGTGGTCTGTTTCATAGTGAAACGAGCCAACCGTTGTCTGCCGGCCATTTATTAAGGTCACGAGAACTGCCACTAATTTTCAGACTGTCATCTCCAGCACGGCACGGCCCACATGTTTCTCGAAAGGCATCGGGGTGTTTTAATCCTCAAATCTTACAACCAAAGCTTTCTTCTGTGCATCATGTTTTTTTTTATTTTTAAGATGATGCACCCGCTTGTCTCGTCGGGCATATAAGCTATCACTGAACACGGAAAAAGGTTAAACTATAATTGCAGAAAATAATGAAGAACGTGTTACAGGGAGTTGAGAGTATACGTTCTTTAAAGTGTGTCAAAGAAGGCTCGTCATACGTAGAATGTCTGAGAATTCAGCAATGGCAGAGTTAAAGATACATTCAAGAAAAAAGAATGAAGCTTCAATTGCTGCGAGAGAATGAAGGTGGCTTAATCGAAGTTAATCAATTCAAGAAACAACCTAACTCAGCTCCGAGACCAAATGATTTTGTATGGAAGTTATGCATTGAGCCTTGATACACAAGGGGACAACACTATATCGCCTTGCCATTTTGAAGGTCCCTTCGCACACGCCGTCAAGCTGCCAGCAGTTCGGCGTGCAAGAGGAGATCGGGAGGTCTCTATAGACATGCAAGTTGCCGTACGGATCTCGGACGAAGTGCGTGTGTGGACGAAGTTTTTTGTGCGTGCGGCGAGCGTGAGGACCTCCAATATGACGACTTCGACACTAGCGATCCTCGCGGATGACGTCAAGTGCAGATTATCATCAATTCGCACGTTGACATCAATTTAGTACTGTGGCTTTATATGCAATCATAGCGGCCTCACAAGGTATACAATAAGCGATAATCTGGTGCAGTTCACATAGCAGTTGCACAGTGGACAGCTCTATAGAAAGCCGACCTTACTGCAGGTGGGCCATCAAAACAGCTGCGCGCATCCATTCCATAATGGGTCTTTATAAATCACGACAATAGAAATACTCAATCTGGATGGGGTAGCAAGCGCTTATAGGACGCAGATATGAACAAAAAAAAAGAGAAAGAAAGGAGGTCTGGATGAGAACTATATATACGTGAAGTGAAAGCAGGCCAAACAAACACTCGATCTATCGCGGACCATGCGCGTAGAATAAATCTCCGCGTATATTCAATAAGCGAACCTTCTTCCCTCGTGCCTCACATCGAACGTATGTTGAGTTCGTCATCACCCTGCTTTTTTTTTCTTTCCTCCGCGGCGCGGACCGATCCCGGCTCTTCTGCCGTTCGGAAATGGTTTCCGCCGCTCGTGGCTGGCGCGTGCCTTTGTTTGGAGCACGTGCTCGCATTCGTCCGATGGCTTTCCGCGACGACGAGCACCACCAGCGCCGCCGCATCGCTGCACCAACTCAATGGCCTCGCCATGACGCCCCGTGCGGGGGAGGGTGTTTCCCCCCTTTATTTCTTCCCGCACGAACAAGTTATTCGCGCGTGCGCGTCTCTTGCACACGAGTTATGCGTACATACGCCGAGCCTCACGTAATACGTTTTTGCTTCCTTGTGCCTATACACATCTTTACTTTCTTCCCTCACTTTTCGATGCGGAAAAGCGAACAATGTTTTTATGGGCCAACAGTCATAACTGCGCTCATTAGGCACGGCAATGCGCTTCGGAGGTGACCCTGGAGCGCGCCGCGCGCCATGATGTCCAACTCGACTGTGAGAGAGAGGGAGGGTTGAGCTTCTGCGTGCCAGTTACGAGCTCGATTGTGCGTTCAGAATCAGTGCGTGCGAGTTCATGCGTGTGATGAAAAGAGCTGAAGGTCGTCTCTACAGCTGAACCCTATGCCTTTGTTCGCACAGACTGCGTTGGTGAGGAATTCATTTTCTGATTAAACTGCTGCGTTCGCCTCAAAATCCGCATTTGTGCGCTCTGTGTGTAGCGCGTGTAGCGTTTCATTGCAAGTACCCGGTAGGATAGCAGTACTCTTTGTTATCAAGTCTCTCTCTCGCTCGCCTCCTTGAACATTCTGTATCAAACCGTGCGCCTCTGAAAATCATCTGAAACATTGAACTGCACGGTTTTAAAAGTACCGACAAAAGCCTACTTCTGCAGTCGCATAATAAAGTTTAGGTGAAACGCTGTCATTCAATAATCGTACGAAACTACAAATTGCTCCTGTGGCTCGTTGGCCGCGAAAGGAAAGTAAAATGTGTCATCCCCAAAAGGCGTATTATGTAGCATAGCATTTACGAGATTCCACTGTTTACAGCGCGGTATGGCGTAAATAATCGCCATGTCTGGTTGTAGTGGTTTAGATGATGGCCAGAAGATAGCGTCCCGGAGTAACGTAAGGAAGATAAGGTCCTGTATAGATAGCGTCCCGAAATAACATCGTGGTGATAACGTCACGCCGTAAGCATCATTGACAAAGCCCACATGACATGTCACATTGGAGAGCTCCAGTTTACGGTCGGCCTTCTGGCGTCATTCACCCGACTATATTAGATGCTCAGCATACGTGCTATAGTTGCACACAGTTTATATAAGCGTAGAAAATGTGGCCAGCGTGACAGGAAACCGCGAACCCAGAGGAAGAACGCCATGACCGCCGAGCGCATGCATGCGTAAAACAGCAAGAGTGTGACAGAGAGAAAGAGATAGAGCAGAGGGCAGTGCATGCCGAAGCCTGCAGTGCTCACCTGAATACGTGCCTCGGGCAGGTCGATCTTGGCGGCTAGCCTTTCCCGCGCGAACACGTCCGGGTAGTGGGTGCGCTCGAACTCTGCACACACGTTTAAAGGCATCAGCATCAGGAACAGTGTCAATTGCATTGCGGGCGTTTTCAATTGCATAATCATTGTGTCACTGAAGTTGTGTACACTCTCAATCGGGTCCTGCATAAATGCTGGCTATATCCAGGAGACCACACAGAAATGTCTGGGTTCCTGGCTATATCCAGTAGTTTAAGCTGGACCTGATTAATGCATATGGAACGCATCATTCGTGTTTTGAGTTTACTGTGAGAACGTTTCGTGTATATGTGTGTTTATGTGTCATTTTTTTCATGTCTTGCGGTTTGTGTGTTTATTGTGTGGTGTTCTGGACGCCTTCGAGAAGTAAGGAGTATCCGGCGCCTTATTTGTGCGCCAACATATCCTCACCTCATATCAATAATGAAAAAAAAGTGGGCGTGATATGTATAGCTTGTGTCCTTCGTTCTTTAATTATCTTTTTGTGTGTGTTGTGTGTTTGGTACGAGCACCGAGTGGCACTTGTTCCTCTTCCAAACATATCCGGTCCAGCACTTGGCTTCGGTTTTAAGAATATTCATATTCTAAAAAAAAAACAAAAACCAATGGTTGTGTTTCAAGTCATATTAAATGCATGTGATATCGGAGCTTAAACTGACTCAATATAAGGACCAAGCAAGTGTTAGGATTATTATTAAAAATTAGTATTTGTATTCATTGAAATATTTCGAGCAGTTCGGATCGCTATGGCCCCTGGTGGTTCAGGTCTCGGAGACCACGCCCTTGTTTCGGCATGGCCTCCGAAACTACATGAGGTTACGTGACATTCTTAAACTCCGAGGTTCATTCGTTAAAAAAAGCGAAATGAAAACAAGTAGAGCTGCTCTGTACTTTTCTGCGAGTTTGAAAACGAATATTTCTCACGACTGCAGTTTTTTTTTATATTTTTCTTCGTGGTTTGCATCAAGTTGACTTACATTTGCAAATTCTCAGTGGCTTTATTTCATTCAATGCTGAACGCACGCTAAAAGCGAATGTTTAAAATACTGATTAACGCAAGTAGGCACTTACTACGGTTGACGCAGTTCGTATCCGCAAACAGACAACAAAGGTGTACTAACTGCCACAAACTAAATTGAAGGGCTGTGGTCGCACTAAACTGGCATGTTTGGTATATAGCACGAGAATGACGAAGACTTACTAAAGCAAAAGGGACACGGACGAGCACTGTGTTACAGCTGGTCAGAGCACTGTGTTCAAGAAATATATTGAAATATAAAGCGCTTGTTCGTGTTCTTGCAGTTCTACTGCATCTTCGTCGGTTTCATGATTTACCACAACATGCTACAATGGCCCAGCTTTCTATGCTACAGTGCATACTAAAGTAATATAATAGGATACAAGGACACAAACAATCTCAATTGACCTAAATATCCTTTCAATGTAAATTGTGGCTCACCTTTTTCTAGCGCCTCTATCTGTTCCATGGAAAAAGAGGTTCGGTTCCGCTGAAGTTTGCGCTTGAGCCGCAAACGCGCCGCCGCATCGTCATCGCCGCTCTCTTGGGACTCCGGGTCCAGCTCAGCTGCATTATAGGAAAGAGGAAGAAGCTCGTTCATTTATTCTACGACTCCTAGCCGTCACCCAATAACCATCCGTTCCCTACATATACTTTGCAGTGAATTCCCAGTTTAAGCGAAGGGCGAACACACTTTGAATTTGCGATTAAAACCACTATATCCGCCGGTTCTCCCGGCTTGTTTGTGAAACTGCTTGCGACACAAAGTGTGGCATGCTTTGTGTGCCGTTGCTCTTCGGGGTCTCTTAATTATTAAAATTGCATAGCCAGATTGTCGTTAATGTATTATTACAGCTACGGAAGCTACTTCAATAAGTTCAGCACAAAGAATAGTCTAACATCTATTGCTGAGGTTGAGCGGAAACGTAATGAACGGTCGTACGGATAGCAATCGCTTTGCAGAAACTGTAGCCATGAACTTTCGTCGCGATATACATAAGGCGTATAAGGCAACAGAACTTGCAACAAAATGAGAACAACGTTTCGAAAGTTTGCTCGCGATGAAGTCAAAACGAAGGAATGGAAAATGTGGTTTGTGCGTGTGAAGAAGCTAATATCTAAGCGGTTACGCAGAGGAGTGCTCAACGATATCTAACATAATAGAATATACATGTACATACAACCTGCCAATCCCGTCCGTAGTTGCCGCGAACTTACTTTCAGGATGGTTTATGGACACCGTTTCAGAGATCCCCTTAAGCCTCCTGACGTACTTACGAACAATTCCGGTAAATTAGCACTGAGACAAATAAACAAATGCAACCAAAGAAGAAACAACTAATTATTGAAGAAATCCACAAAATGAGAACGGCATGCCGAATGAGAATACGCCACTATTTTGAAGAAGAAATAAAAAATGACAAGTTAATTAAGGCTCAACTCAACCTTTTAAGCGCCGAAAAGCTGAAAATTAAGCAGGAACTAAACCCCCTTTTCTGATGCGCTGCATAACTGTGGACGAATGCGCCCGCACGTTTATTAAGGCGAAAGCTTTATATGGCCCACCCAACGTGAAATTTGACCGTCGGTGTCACACGTCGCGACGGCGGGCACGAGTCATGCAAAAAATCCCCACGAGATGACGCCACCATATGAGATCACAGTGACACCACAGATAGCCGTATTTGTGACGTCATTAGGACTTCACGTGACGTTGTAGACCGCTCGAAGGTGGACGGAGACAATGCAAAGCCAGGCTTCTGATCTTGGAGGCAGTGCGAAACCACGTTGTGTGCAGGAAGCTTTCGAAGAGTGGCGGGGAAGCATCGGTTGAATGGCTGACGGGAAAAAGAAGATGACTGACACCTTCGAGGGGTTTTAGGTGAATGCATATAGGACCATGCATGTGAATTTTTGAATGAACAATACTTAGGTCTTATGGAGACGAGCACCCTTCTATATATTGCACAGCTGTTTTGTCAGACATGACACTTTTTGAGGTAATTAGTAATTGCTCATACTGCCTTGGGTGCTAACGAAGCTGCTAAAAACCAACATTAAACACTTAATTCAGCTCCGCACGATTCTAGAACACAATATAATCCCGCTTTTCTAATGCTCCCGCTATGTGACTTTACCGGTCGCTGACTGACGCCTTCCAGTTACCGTTATTAAAATAATTCTCGTATTAAATAATTAACGTGATTTGGTGAACTAAAAACGAATATTAACGTAACCAATATTTCAGTAAGAGGAATCATACTCGCCGTTCAGAAAAATAGAAGTTTTGTTGTCAGAGCATTCCCTCCAGCTATATTATTTGTAGAGCGACTTCTTATTACTTCTAGCCTTTATCGTCCACTGAACTTCTCGTTTAGACTTTAACTATACGAGCTCACGTCTTCATACACGTCATTCGTCTTGATAATGCACCCTACAAGACATATCTTGTGAGTTGCGTGTACGTAAGCGAATGTTGCGCGCCTGCAAAATGTTGGCAGCCTGCATGTGTGGCTTTAGGTGGTGCACTTTATGTCTTGCACAAAACCCCGTATAGTGCACAATACAATAAAAGCCAATTCTCAGGCCCGTGCTTCGGCTCATGCACCGCTGCACTGCGGCGTAGGCCCGCTTCCAGCGATTGCACCCGTGGCGACACGGCGGCAACCGCAACAGCGACTAGCACACCGCTACAACAGCCAACTGCACACGGAGTAGAAGAACACAGAAGCACAGACACCCTGTTACAGAGTTCCAGCACGTACAAGCTAGACCCCAAACATCGAGAAGGAAGGGCACACGTATATACTGCAGATAGAGAGAGAGAGAGAGAGCACATATATACTGCAGAGGAGAAGAGAGAGAGAGAGAAGAGATGCGTAGGAAACGAGGCGTTATCGGCCTCGTTCCGCTCCAGCGCGGCCCAGGAGAGCTGCGCGTCCTTTGGCCCAATCTCGCGGGCCGATCCTCCGGCTGCGTGCGGCGGCAACCAAACGCGGCTAGCCGAGCCAAAACTCGGCCCGACCACTGCGACCGCGGCGCGAGTTGAGCGAGCCCCTCACTGCACACACACACGACACGGCCTCGGTGGCTGCGCGTCTCTTATCGGCGGTGCCGCCCGGGAGGAGAAAAACCGCCGAGCCACGCCACTCTCTCATCGGCGATGCGGAGGAGAGTGAGAGTTGGCGACGTCGTATACTCGCCCGCCTCCTTTCTTCGATAAGGGAGCCACGGATGCGCACCACTGAACTAGCGCTCTGCGATGTCTTTATAGGGGGACTAGAAAAGCGAGGCGAGGAGAGGAGGGGAAGCGGCGGTAGTACTGAGCTGTACAGTCGGCGCAACTCGCGTAGAGGCTCATCTTGCCGATACTAGGGGCGCGCGCATCGCTTAAAGTTCGCTGTCCATACAGTCACCGCTACAGAACGCGACAACTTCAGGTCCCGCTTAAGGTGCTAGATATAGACTGAAAACCAGGACAATTTTCGTCTGGTTTCCTGGTTATAGCCAGCATTCACCAGGACCTGATTAAGAGTGTAGTTTTGATCTAGTGGTCACGCATGACTAGCGTTGAATATACGCAAGGCAATTCCAACATATACAAATAAAAATTGTATTTAAGTTCACTTATTCGACAGCGTATATACTGTGTAGCAGACTGCGTCAATCGGGCTAGACACTGGCATGCGATATCTTACTTTTGTTTCGTCAGAGACGTTTGTTAGATTACGAATTTGTAAGCAAGCTTAAACAATGAATTTTGCTGAATTTACATGAAATTATTCCAACCTTATACCAACAAAAAAGTCATTTAACTTCGTTCTTTTGATAGCGTAGTTTGTGTTAGTATAAAGCGTAAGTTGAACCAGAAACTTGCTGGTGAGATATCTCTTCTTTTTCGGGTACAGAAAGACTGCATTCCAGCAGATGATACCTGGCATCTCTAACCTGAAAAGCATCCCCTTATTTATAAGTAATTAAAAAAACAATGAAACACGCTACTCAACTTGATTATCAGCGTTTCCCCTACCTCTCTCTTTTTGTTTTGCTCATTATCATCGTTCGACTCACGTCAATGCACTCTACGTGACACGTCCTCGTTTTACAGCCTCCGAGGCCAAGGGACCACCGCACCTTCGTCTCCGCTCGAATGGCTTGACTGACCACGACTTTTGACAGCGAGGACGGCCAGCGGCGAAACTCAATGCGAGGTTATCGCGCCTATCGCTTTCCTGTCTCCCCGCGCCCGAGATTTCGGAGGCCTTCATTCACCTGGTTTGTTTTCCGTGAGTGCCTTCTGTGCCCGTGCACGTATATACATGAGCGTAACTTGGGTCACTTCTTTGCTGTTTATTCTTTTGCCGGTGTGTAGGTTCTCATACTTGAAGTAAAAGCTATCTCAGTGAGTTTCGCGTCATGTTCTCACGGATATATTTTTTGGCCGCTTCCCAAAATGTGCTTGAAGTCGAAACCGAAAAATGTAAACGGAGTGCTAAGTGTTTCGATAACGTATAAACAGCCCCGGAAATGGCGAAGATAAGGCTAAATTTATTTTAAAGTATACACAGGCACATTGTGGAAAGCTGGAAGAGAGGGAAAACGAGACACTGTTAACCATGATAACCAGAGCTCACCGAAGCTTCAGTACCTTTATCTAAAATTGTTTAAAGACAAGTAGCATTTTTTGGAACCTGTGTACATGAGTCCACATATAATGCGCCGCGAGTGCAGTTTTAACACATTCCACAGTTCACGCCCAGAAATGGAAAGGTATCCATACGGCACGGAGAAAAAACACTCAAGTGTACAAATGGCATGCACAGTGCCGATGAAATATAGAAAAAAAAATGCACGAAGAAAATTACTGCAAGACAAATGGGAGAATGGCATGAAAAAAAATTTGGTTCCAAATCTGCATGTTACAACGCAAATTCCGTCGAAAGACGATAGTCCTGCGTCTGGAAAGAGTGAACAAAACGTTTATTTGATGTTCTGCGCAAGAAAATCGGTGAATGGTATTCTGGAGGCGCTGCGTTAGAGTGCCTCGAGCGTGTAGCGGAGGCGAACGAGCGCATCGAGGCACGTTAGACACAAGCGCCATCTGGCAGTTATCTTCGAAAACGAAGGCATGCAGCCCGCGGAGAAAGATGCGCGCCAGTTTCGGAGGTGATAAGGTGTAGAACGCAAAGCGACGGGCAGGTGCCACCACCGAGACGTCGTAGCAAAGCGTTGGGAACACCTTTTTGAGCATCGCGTTGCACTGTCAGCGCAGCACGATAAACGCTACATTCTTTAGACTTACTTGTGTGTGCCTCTTCTAGTATAAAGGCAGACATACAAAACATCGAAGCGTTGTTGTGGCGCCAAAGATATGCGCAATAATTGCTTTTTAATTGACAATCGCACAAGTATGAACGCTAAACCTCGAGCAATATTGGTGGGTGCTGCGGATGGGGTGTTGACCATTTGGTGCCGTTTGAGGTATCGTAAGGGCGGACAAATAAGCAAATGTACACAGACAGACCCAAATTTTTTCGTCGAAGGAAGAAAGAGTATCGTCTTAAAAAAAAACATGCTAAACAGAAGCAAGTAAAACTACGGTATTTCATTATGCCATACCGTATACTCTTACGTTGCTTGCCGGTGTATATAGTAACGGCATAATCTTCACGGTGAAAGAAACAGTGTCCCTATCGTAACTGCTCCTGGCGACGTCATGCTATCTAACAAATATAATAAAGATTGGCCATCTCGAGTGTTGGAGGGTGACATCTCGAGTTATTCCGTGAGTGTCAAGGAATATTAGAGGGAATACTCGGAGAGCAGAATAAATGACTGGAGAGTTACCATAGACAAGAACCACAGAATAACAATCGTATAGGGACAAAGCAGAAAGTTGTTTGCGTTCGCTTAGTTGTATGCTTTGTCCACGCTCGAGTGGATATGCGCTTCTTTACCTCGCGTTCAAACAGTCGTCATCCCCCTTTCGTCATGCCTTGTAATACTCATAGGTATATACTAGTATACGATCGACTGACTCCTTTTTTTTGAGGGGGGGGGGGGGGGGGAATGCGTGTCCACGTAATCGACAGTGCGGATAACATCGACTCGGCCATAACTCTCGCGTCTCTGAATATACAGTTTTCTATATCTGTCCGCTCGCATATATATACCCACAAATAACGACGCACAAGCGAGCTGTGCGTAGGCATGGCGCACGTTGTTGACAGGTGGGTTGTGGTGTCTCCGATCTGCGGGCACGAAATACAACTCAGGGACCGGAGGAGCGCGGGGATTTTGACGAGGGTGCGTCCCGTTTTCTGACGGACGGGCCACCCGGAGTGGCGACGCATGGCGGAAGGAGCCCAACGACGCTGTCTGCTTTCATCGCCTGCGCGTCACCTTCCGTGGGAGCCGCGCACACTGGCGCACGCACGTCCCGAACACGGGAAAGCAAACAGCCGCACAAAGCGGGTCCGAGGCGACCTCCAACGGCGCGTTTGTTCTCCCTCGTCTGATCCGAGCACGGAGGACAGTCCTCCGAATAAAGGCAGGAGAAAGACGCACTCTCTTTTAATCTGTTTGTGTACTGCACAACGTTTCCTTTTCTCTCTCTCTCTGTATTCATTTCGCGCCGTCTTCGTCGTCCAGCCGTTGTCATGTGGTCCGCCGTCTCCTACCCCACCCTCCCCCTTTCCCGTTTACTCCCCATCTCCCAATACTCAGTGGCAGCGCGGCTCTGACGTTTCCGACGAACGCACTGCGTCTTCCACCCCGCGGATTTCCACGGCGAGACTGTCACCCCTCGACGGCAAACCATCGAGGTGCTGTATGTGCACACACGCTGACAAGGCGTCCGCGCACGTGCAGTGGGTGTCTCGCGAACATATTTGAATCACGCGTCCTGCCAAAATTGACGCAGCCGCGAAGCTTTCAGCGTCCGTCCCGAAAAAGAGCGCTTTCATAAGTGCTCGCGGAGCGTCTCGGCAGCACACTTTATACGTGCCTCGATTCGAGGTATAAAGGGCGTCCCCGAACGCAGGGGAGCCGCAATGGCGTCCCGCTGAGAACATTTGTGCGCACCTTGCGAAGTGAAGAAGACGGCGGCTACGCGAGAAGAATTCTTTTCTCAGTCTTATTCTGCGTTTTTATAACTTCTCCCCGAGAGAGCGGTTTAAACGACGGGCTTTCGAATGTGGCACGGGGACTGTGGTTTCTCTTTGAAAAGTACGCGGGACATTTTGTTTTGTTAGGAGCCAGGGTAGGCGAAGCTGGAAGCACACTCGTGATTTGAGAATAAAACGTCCTTGTGTATACGCTTGAGTGACATTTATGTGTAACCCCGCGGCGCACAGTCAAGCGCTCAGACCGCGGCTTTATTATCCGAGCGCTGCTCCGCGTGTGTCCTGCACCGCCTTTCGGGCCATCAAGGGTGGCGCGTATACACAAGCGAGGTCAATCGCGCACGCGCGCATGTGTCTGTCTCAGGTGCGCGTTTCCACATGGAGCACATAGCGGAGCTCAAAGTGAAGCCGCTTCCCGTGCAATTGCGCAAGGGCGACGAGGTTAAGTGTTGAGCGTATCGTGGAGTGAGCCAGCGCTCGAGAGGGCTCATGCACCACGGTGCGCCACTCTGCGCCTTTGCGAAAACTCATGGACCACACGTGCCCAATTTATACAACGTGGTTAAGAGTCACAGCGTAATGAATGGGGACTAAAGATTAATCTTGACTACCCGAGTTTATTTAACGCTTTCTTATTGCGCGGGTCGCACGCTATATAGAATTTAGCCATATTAATTGCGGTAACGCGTTGTAAGTTTAAAACAATACGCTCATTTCAAAGACATGTTAGGCTGATTGATTGATTGATTGATTGATATGTAGGGTTTACCGTCCCAAAACCACCATATGATTATGAGAGACGCCGTAGTGGAGGGCTCCGGAAATTTAGACCACCTGTGGTTCCCTAACGTACGCTTAAATCTAAGCACACAGGCCTACAACATTTCCGCCTCCATTGGAAATGCAGCCGCCGCAGCCGGGATTCGATCCCGCGACCTGCGGGTCAGCAGCCGAGTACCTTAGCCAGTAGACCAATGCGGCGGAGCGAGATATAGTATATGCTGCGTGTTACCATAATATGTCACACTCACGGTCCAGCCAGTGATGCATGAAAAAGAAATTGTTGCTGCACATTTTTTTTAATTCGTGAATATTGCACTAAGCAGCGCAAGCAATTAAAGAGCGAAACTAACAATAATAATATCTAGGGTTTAGCATTCAAAAGCCCGATTTGATTATGACAGGCGTCCATATAGAGGGCGCCGGAAATATTGTCCACCTGCCGTTCTTTATCGTGCACTGACACCGCAGAGCACTTAGACCTCTGCCATGTCACCTCCATCGAAATGCGACTGACGTGGCCGGGATCGAAGCCGGAACCTTCGGGTCAGCAGCCGAGCAAACTATAGTTACTGATTCACCTATAGGCGAACGAAACAGCGATACTGGGTGACTTTGAAGGCTTGCCGCAAGCTTTCAAAGCTTCAACAATCCTACAGAAGCAACCAGAGTCTGGTTGCTTCTGCAGGATCGTTGCTAAAGGCTTTAGCTATAGGTTGATGTTAGGTTGTTTCTATACGTCGATCCTCGGCGCAGAGAGGTTCGCGTTAAGCCACAGACACGGCACGGGCGCGTCCTCGTTTACGCCTTCCATCGCGTCAGGGTCTTCTTGCGGCCGCCATTGCTCTAAGTGGTTATAAAAAGGAAAAGAAGAGAAAAGTGCCGCCCGTAACTGTCTATCCTTACGATGACACCTCAACAGGTCAACACAGAGATGGTGTAATATGAATAAAAAGAAGAGGAAAGCATTTCCCGTTCCATAATCTATAGCTGCGTCCTCGGGGTCTTCGGCTAGCCACCGTGTCTTCGCAGCCATTCGTTGGGCTAACAAGTGCCTGCTTCCTTTCTAGTTGAGCGTAGTGGGCTTTACCCAGTTTTTGTGGCACACAGCCGTTTATGGTGATAGTTTTTTTTTTCTTCTGATATGCCACTTAAGTTTCGTTGGCACACACCCGTTTTGTGGGCCAAAACTGTTTCCTCCATTTTTAGCGGACCTGAGGCGAGTTGTGCAATTTCCGTTGCACATACCCGTTTATGATGGCGATAGCTCTTTGATACGGGGTGAACAAGAAACTATTTTAAAATACGTAACATCTTCATCTCATAACCTCTATCACTCTAATATCGAATAATACTTCACAAGATCAATCGATTATTGACAATCGCCCCACCGCGGTGGTCTCGTGCCTAATTTCCGGAGCCCTCCACTACGGCGTCTCTCATAATCATATGGGGGTTTGGGACGTTAAACCCGACGTGTAAATCAAACATTATTGGCCAATTCTCCACAGTGGGCATGAGCCACAAGAGAAGGTAAACAAGAACAAGATTTGCTAAACAGTTTCGCTTTCAAATCTTGGCGCCTGTTCGTGCGCTTGTGTTTGCGTATACATGCGTCGATCGTGTATACGCGTACGTGCAGTGAACCAAGCAAGTATCTGCTCCCTCAATACTGAAAGCTGCCGCGAATTCCGCGTGAGTTTTTGTATACGTTATCCGATAGGGTCCTCCGTTTCGGCGACATCAATGGACACCCCACAGCGGCCGCTTTTGTTTTTTTTTTTTGCTTCTACAATGCATACACATGCGGTTAAGTCGCATTACAGGGAAAGCCTTTTTGACCATGTACGGCTGCTTTTTTTTTTTCATTTTAAAGTGCTCTAAAAAAAAAGAACTACTTTCCCGGATTATGGTTTCGAAAAGGCTCTCGCTATTTCTTTCTGCGTTCTTTTCTTTTTTCCTCTACAATAAAATTCGGGCACATCCGAAACATTCGAAGCCAACTTTGTGAGGCTCCCGTAAGTTCGCCTCGAAGTGACCTTGCTGCTTACCAAGAAAGAAAAAAAAAAGCCCACAACCCATCGAAACGGTCAAACCGGAAACGACCTGCGTATTCCCGCTCGATCGACAACCTACCGTATAATTCTTCCGAAGACGGCTATAAACACGGCGCAGACGTGTTAGTCTCTATAGCGGAGGTCTTAAAACCGTCAAAAGGGGCGAACCCCTTCTCGACTTCACCCCAGGTTTCCTTTGAGGGCAAAGTTGTAATCCTTACATGTAGTTCCCATCTTTTTAAGCCATTCATAAAAGGCTTGAACCGTAACGTTTAAGTTGGTATTATATAGTTGTTGCTTTTGTTGTTATTTATTCATCTTTTTCGTTAACTTTGTCTAGGTGAAGCTGCCAGACAGACAAACCAACAGAGAGTTTTATTGGGTCCTGAGAAACGCTCCTCATTCATTGAAAAAAAAAAAATCATAGCAAACTTTTTCACGCGCTAAGTACTTTGTTCGGGTGTCTTTAGCGACAAAAGACAACTTTCTATAGAAGTCGTCCGAATGAGAGCCCCAATTCACTTTTGCTGCTGCAGAAGCAATAATACTGTTCCTTGCTAATCCGATTGCTTGTTAAGGTTTATAAACACAGGTTATATTTAACAGCGTCTTCGATAATTTTGTTTACAGATAATTAGATTCACAGCGAAAGCGACAGACAGAGAACATACAGGGTTGCCCAATCGCCTTTAGCACGAGAAAAAGGTCATGCTTGTAGCGACAGGGGCACCAAAGAAAAACTAAACACACGGGACAATAGAATGCGTTGTCTACTTCTGTTCAACTCATTCGTCGCTTCTGCGCTGCTCTTGTTCTTGAGCATACACCCATTCCAACACAACTACGGTTCGTTTAAGTATTGCTGAGAAAATAGCATTATTGGCACAGACTAGTGAGGAATTGTGACACCTATTCATCTCTGCAACCTCTTTTCTCCCCTTTATCCCTTCCCCAGTGCAGGGTAGCAAACCGGATGTGCGTCTGGTTAACCTCCCTGCCTTTCCTTGCATCTCTCTCTCTCTCTCTCTCTCTCTCTCTCTCTCTATTTCTCTCGATAGCTATATCGTATGCATGTATGCCACTTTAGGTTTATCGTTTTAGCGTAACCTTTAGGACTATACCTTTCAGCTTTTCATTCAGGCGTGTCAGCCATATCGGCGCGTTAGCACGGGAAAAATAGGCTGGAGGCATGAGGAGCGCGCAGACGATTTGTTCCCGCAAAGGCAGTTTCCATTCGGCATTTCGCGCTGGTGTGTGAGTGAACCGTATAACTTTCCGTGGTGTGCAGCGTGTAAACTGCATATACGGTACACATTCGTGAGCAGTAAAACCCGCCGCGGTGGTCTATTGGCTAAGGTACTCGGCTGCTGACTCCAAGGTCGCGGGATCAAATCCCGTCTGCGGCGGCTGCATTTTCGATGGAGGCGGAAATGCTCTAGGCTTGTGGGCTCAGATTTGGGTGCACGTTAAAGAACCCCATGTGGTCGAAATATCCGAAGCTCTCCACTATGGTGTTTGTCATAATCATATGATGGTTGTGGGACGTTAAACTTCCCATATCAATCAATCAATCAATCGTGGGCAGTAATTCACAGGGTCCCATATACGCAATCACATGACTCGTAGCCGAAAGCCTTCTTCTTCTCAGTCGACGTATTCTTTCTCTCCCGGCAACGTCCGAAGGTTATTTGCACCTAACGTGGTTTTGAAGCTGCCTTAAAGACCAGGGACATTGCAAGATCTCTGCAATTTACGTGGATCAGCACTGTCTCCTTGATTGGCGCGCCTTTCACAAAGCGACGATGTCACGCGATAACGTCATCCTGACGTCATTGTGACGTCACAAATGTTGATTTGTGACGTCGCGATGCGTCGTACCGACGTCACGATGGCGTCATGTGTTTAGGTCATCCCGTGGAGGTACTTTTTGTTTCAGCACTCGTCTTGCCATCGACGGTCAATTTTCGCGTTTGATACGTCATTAAAGGATGACTGTCAGTTCGGCGTGTTGGTAATTAGGTTCATGATGAAACAAGCGCAAAAATACACACACTCAGGCCGCGTTCACACTGAGCATTCCGGCCGCCGAAAGTGCTCCGAATCCGGTTCGGCGGCGGCGAGATCCGCCGAAAGGGCCCTCTCCGCGCCGATCGCTCTCGGACCAATTTTCGCGGCGTCTGCCGCCGAATCGGTCACCACGGACCAATAGGAGCGCTAGTCAAAGAATTTTGAAAAATGGCGGCCAAGCCCTACTCACTTGTTATGCCGCAGTTCACGTAACTGAATGTTGAAACCAACGGGAGTTTAACCTATTCTGTGCCTACTTCGCCTCCGTATTTCGTGAAAAAGGTGACTGAGCTTGTTGTTGGCGTGACCGAGCTTGTTGCGGTCTTGCAGAGCAAAACGAACCCACCAACGCCGCTGGCGTCGGTGGTTTTTGTGCTCTTCGTGCATTACAAAAAAGCCACGTGCCAGCAAAGTAAGCAGTACTGTCTTTTCTTGCTTCTTGCGTAAGAGAATCGTCGAAGTATACCCCACCGGATAGCGTAGTAGCGTTTGCGAGCCGCGACAACAACCGGGTGACAGCGCATCCATCCCGCGTTCGCCCCGTAGTAGATGGCATATTCGGCGGCGCGGGGTGCGTCCAGTGCGAACGACGCTGCGTTTCGGCGGCAGGGGAATTTCGGTCGCTGTAGAAAGCGGATGTTTCAGTGTGAACTAGGCATCAGAGAGGACACAGTTGCTAGTGAGCGCTTGTCTGTGTCCTCTCTGAGTGTGTGTGTTTTTGCGCTTGTTTCATCATGAGCATTAAAGGCTCTCGCCTGTTAAATGTCCCACCGGCGAAATGGACGCCAAAATGGTGACACTCACCCGTGGCTTTGTTGTGCTGCACCGCGTGCAGCGTGGTCGAGGCTGCAGCGGCCGCCGCCACAGCCGCTGCCAGCGGACCCTGTGGTTGCGTCGGCTGCGCGGGCTGCCAGGGGCCCCAGCACGCGGCGGCCGAGCTCAGCGGGGAGGCACCGCTCAGCACGCGAAGCTTGTCGTACACGCCCTGCACGGCCGCCTGCTGCTGCTCCTTTTGCGCCGCCAGGTTGCGCAGCACCCGGTTGATGGAGGAGACCTGCGCAGTCACCGGGAACGGATGCCATCGAGGAAGATCTGGAACCCCGTGCTGTACAGAAAACGGGACTCAACGAGGCTAAAGACCTCGATCCTATAAGTGTGGGGTAGAGAGTGCTGTGAGACTCTCGTGGTGTTCCTCTTTCTTGCCCCGCTTTTGATCTCTTCGTTTCGGTGAAACAGTACGCAAGTCCAACGACGCCAACAGTGAGATAACAGTTGAGACCCTGATATGTCTAGACAATGATTTCAGAGGAGCGCTACTGGCTCGCCCCGATCCTGGCTTTCCTGTCGAAGCGTTGCCGTGACCTTCTCAGGCTGCACTTATCTATGTAGAATGATGCTATTGATCAAAGGTGTCGCACTGCAAGTCGGGCAGCGAACGCCGCGCGGAAGTTTGCATACGCGCCAAAAAGCAGGACCGTATTTTCGTCTTTGCCTCGACCGCAAAAGACATGCAAGGCAGCCTCCTTTACAGTGTCACTATGCCCTAGATCAAGGCTTGCTTAAAAAAATAGTTGATGTTTAACCCTTGTAAACTGAGCCATTTCAGGCGAAAAGTATGCAAACTAACGCACAGAATGTTTCATTAAACCTTTGTCTCGTTATACGGTACTGCAGTGGTGACACTTCGAGGGAACGCAGATGCAACGCGTCCCCGCAGCGAATCATTTGGCGTGACGTCATGCCTGCCACACATGCGTCCCGGTGTCTCAAGGTCATTGCGACGCGATGAACTTGACTACAGTATATTCTAGTACACTATACCTTGGCAGGCGTGACGTATTATAGGGTTCTCGTTCTAAAAAAAATAACGTAGCTTGTGCTAAATCAGTGAAGGCTCTAGCAGAGCTGTGTGACATTCTCTGATTTACTTGTTAACCATTTGCACCAAATGCTTAAGTTAATTAGGTGGTCACTGAACACGTGACGGTCAATTATGATGATAGTTTTTCATTTGCGACACATGGCCAACTTTGATCAAAACAGCTGTGCTAAAAAAAGAAAGATAGTAAAGAGTCACGCCATCGTTGTGTACATAATGATTTAACTCTCAGGATATTATCCTTTCAGTATAGTGTCGTGTGTGTGTGTGTGTGTGTGTGTGTGTGTGTGTGTGTGTGTGTGTGTGTGTGTGTGTGTGTGTGTGTGTGTGTGTGTGTGTGTGTGTGTGTGTGTGTGTGTGTGTGTGTGTGTGTGTGTGTGTGTGTGTGTGTGTGTGATCAACCCTCTCCCCGCGCGCGCAGGGGTGGGGTGGAGGAGTTGATTACAAGAGTTCGCTAGAATTTTTTTTTCATATGAGAACAAATCCACATCGCGTGCAATATTTTCACAAGTACGGGCCCTGCGTCTTCACTCGAGTACGAATGCATCGCTTACTTTATCGTTCTCCTTTAGCTTGTAAAGGATCCAGTGTTCGTGAGGGAGACACTTGTACGGAGAATCGGCAAAATTCCTTTCACGAACACGGATACTTTCGACTTGACGCATCGAATCTCCAGCGGCATCCGATTCAAAGTGCATGGGCCCGGACACGTCCGCCGGGGCAGATGATGATGCATTGGCCATGCTGAGTTTGTAACCGGTTTCATTGCGAAAATGATCGCCAAACGATGAGCCGATTGCGCAATCGACGCTCTGTCACGAGACGGTGGCATGGTTGCGTAAACGGAGCCGTCTTGCATGTAATTATAACGCCCCTTACTCACAATGCAATCCTCGCGCAATGGCTATAGTAGGCGAATCTGCTCTGTCTCATTTCCTTTATGCCTACAAAAACGGTTCTATGTACGAAGAAAGGGTAAATGACGGCAAGGCGGCAATCTCAGCGGATGTCCGTGAGACATTGTTATGCGGTTATGCTAATGCTTTTAAGTGTCTAGGTAACGCTTACCATGGCAGCGATGAGAACACGTGGTTCTCCTGAATGTGGGTTGACATGCAGAAGACATCATGCCCCACTAGATCTGTCGTCGTCCGTGTAACAATTATATATGTCACCAGAACCTTCGGCTATATAGTAACATTGGGTCACTGTCATGGGCAGACAAACGCAAAGAAAAAAAGAAAACTCAAGAGTGCCTGTGGGCCGCATGGTCATAAGTTAGCATATTTTGAGGGCAAGGCAAACGAGCATATATAGTCTATTCTTTTAAACTGTGGACTGACTCTCAACATCAAGAGAATTTGCCAACGGAAAGTTGTCTTCCATGCTTCATCTGCATTGTGAAAGCGCAGTGTGAATAATCAAGACCTCTCTCTATATATACACGCGAGAGAGGTAAAAAAAAAAAAAGAGGGATCTCTAAGCTTCGCTTTTAGCATGTTGAACGCGACAGCGATATCCTATAATTTCAATCATAGTTTCAATCACAGTAAACTTTCAATCACAGTTTATGAAATCTGCATTTCATAAACTGTGATTGAAAGTTGGGAGATGGAGTGAACGACACAACGAAAATCACTGAAAAGAGTTTCCGCTGGCATGATTGAAGCTGGTGCTTCACGCTGCGAATTTGGGCCTTCACTCTCTGCAGCTGCGATGCTGAAGAAACGGTAACCTCTGTTTGACACCTTGCATCAACGTATACTGATGGCGATTCTCAGTTCTCACAACATCTGCAAAGAGTGAGAAAGCGCAAAATTTATAAGGGAAGGAAACAATTTCGTTAGCGTATTATGAGTGGATGGGATACTTGCAAGCTTTGTGCAAGCTTTGTGCCATCGATTTCTTCGTCGGCTGCACTGGAAACTTCTGCATTCGCGACTGTCGAATCACAATGCGGAGGAAGCTCTCGCGGCCTTTTTAGAGGTGGGCACTTCGTTGCACTTGAACGCTATTTTGGTTTCGAAAGGTAAGAAGGGAAACCTTCAAAAATCCTTGGTACGGCGTCTTCCACCAGTCTCGGTCGTTCTCGGGGCAGCGAAACGATGACTCCGTTCACTGTGCACACGTCCGCACGTACAATGTCGCTGGCGTCGAAATGTTTTTCACACACGCGAGCGTTATTTGAGTCGAACGAAAATTCGGCAGTCTCTTGTCGCGGGATTGCACGTTTTCACCTGTCATTGGCTTGCCCCTCTGCAACGCCAGCGCTGTGGCGCGGAAAGTGCGGTGAGTGACGCGGTAGTTTCATGCCCATATATATATATATATATATATATATATATATATATATATATATATATATATATATATATATATATATATATATATATATATATATATATATATATATATATATATATATATAATTTGTCCGTCGTGGATGTGATAGAATTTTTTTTTGCTCACACAAAATTTACAGCGTCCAACTACTTAGAACAAATATAATGAGATACGTATCAACTTGTTGCATTAAAAATATATCACATTTGCGCAAAATGTGAATATAGAGTTAAGAGGTTCACTTATAGTAACGCGATTTGGGGAGAACAGATCTATGATGTGTTAATAAGTTTGCGTTTTGAACTCCCTTGTGCTTCGCGGAAACCAGTACTATAGTGAAGGGCAGAAAAGTAAGTCCCATGAACAGCCCTTCCCAACGTTGTCGGTATTATGAGAACATAGATCACCTGATCCGAGTGTAGGTCAAGTGTATGTTTGTAGAAAAGCTAGTTTGTCATGGTAGGGACGGCGTAAGCTCTCCCATAGTAGAGTACCTGGTACTCTAAATCGTTACCCACTTTTTCTACCCCCCCCCCCCAAGTGTATGTGCCCTGTTACTGGAATGGTATGAAGCCTTCGTGTTTTGTACATGCTGTTAATAAACTTTTTCTAAACCAGGTCAAGTAATTATGATGTGAGGCCCGAGGGACGGCCTTGTGCTCTCTCATAGTAGAGTACCAAGTACTCTAAATCGTTAAACACTTTTTCCGAACCCACAGTGTCGCGAGCTCAGTCAAGAGGTCTACGGCATGGCTCTTAGCTCTCTCATAGCATGCAGTACTAGGTACTCCAAATCGTTAACTACTTTTTCTAAACAGACAGTGTATATGTCGCATTAATGGGGCACATGTCGTACACTACGGAACGGATCTATGCTGAGTATGCTCTCCCATAGTAGAGTATACCAAGTACTCAACATCGTTAACCCCTGTTTCTAATCGCACACAGTGAGGCCCACGGGACGGCTCTATGCACTGCCATAGTAGAGTACCAAGTATACTCGATAGCGTTAACCACTTTTTCTGAACACACTTAAAAGGGCTCGTGCTATTTGTTAGAAACAATATTTGTGAGAATGACAGACAATTATGCCGAGAAAAGTACAGGGGATATTATCGAACGCGTCTTTCGAAGGTTACAGCTTCGGTTCTTGCCCACAGCAAGTTGTCTTTTCATCTGCAGTTTTCTTTCTTCGCATTTATATGACAATTACTTCTAATAATGTTCCCTATACTTTCCTTGGCATAATTGTCTGTCAATTCTAACTAATAATTTCCGGGATTGTATTAGATTCCCTCTCTCGATCCTCTTTTAAGCCTGGACAACCTAATGCTCTCCCTTGGAAAAAGTACATTGTATAGTTTAAATCATCCACCATTTGTTCTAAACAGAACAAACGATATCTAATAGCAGAGTAAATACTCTAAATTGTTAAGCACTTTTTAAACACAATTTGTTCTAAACACAGCTCATGAGTCATTTAAGCCCGCCAACCGATATACTATTGGAAACTCATTCGCGAGTAGTTTCGAAGTCTCAGCTATCCACATTACAGCGTCGTGGCGTGGTGATTCTTATACGAACGGGAGTAATTGGCGAATCGTATATATACTTTTCACGTTGCTATACTATATCCGCCACGTTTGTGAACCTTGCGAACCACTGCGCCTGTTGCGCAATATCTTATAACAGAGGCACAAGCCCGTAATCAAGTCAGCTGGGTGATGTTTAGGCAAAATTGGCCATATAATGTCCTGGACGTCCATGTTTGAGCGCCACGTCGGTCGTAGGCAGAGTATTCATTTTAGGCGCCAGCTAAAAACCCCAGGTGG